TCAAGTTCTGAAGAATCACTAAGAAACATATTTAGTAAATTAGTCTTTATTTTTTGTTAATTATTTCTGAAAAAGTGTCTCGTATATAAACTGTTAGATCAGAAATGTTTTGAAAATCAATTGGACATTATACTTCAATGGCTATTAACATTCTGCTACCTTTGGCTTACTAAATCTCCCTCTGAGAATATTATATGAATACAAATTATTTTAAGTTGAAAGGAAAGCTAAATACATAAAGGTTTTCTAAACAATATAAATTCTAGTTGTGAATAATTGTAACATGCCACACATATTACACAAATATCTCATTTAATTTTTATACCTGCCTCTGAGAGTAGGCATTATCACTATACAGATGAGGATGCTGAAGGTGACAGTGTTAATAAATTGCAAGTCAGATGAGGTTTTGAGATCCAAATCCATTCTGACCCTAAATCCCAAATCTTTAGCCCTTAAACTATAAATTCTAGAGAAGTGAAACCGATTTGTTAGAATAACTGAGCAATCATTGTTTTACCATACCTACTCTAACTTTTCACATTTCCATTACTGTTGTGATTATTTTTTTGTAGACTAGATGGCTCTTTTTGGAAATCAATATAGTAATGTCATTAAATAATCTTCTGGATTTTAGCAAAGAAGGGAGGATGGGATTTGCATACATGTGTCCTCTGAATTCATGAACAATAATTAGAAAATCACTACTTGAGCTCTGGTGCAAAGAACAGAAGAGTTTCCTGAAGAATATGTTAACTTTCTCTTCAATACCTGCTATAAAAGTACCCTAATTTATTTAAAATAAATTATCATAGGAATGCATAGAAAGTGACAGAAACAGGGACTTGGCAAGCTCAAAAAACTCCAGTGGGAGCAAAGGAGGATCCTTCCATTGCAGGGATGCTTACATTTCTGTTGGTGAAGATCCTCTTTGAAATATGAGAAAAGCCAAGGTGATGTTCCTGTTTATAAGGGACTTTCCAAGTCCCATAATAAGAAAGCAGAAGTAGTGACCTTGTGCTGGTCATTGCTGAATTGGTAATACATATATTGCACTTTTCTCTATTACTCTACTTTATTACTCCAAAGGATTGCCTAACAAAATTCCCCTGTTTCCTATGAGCAGAACATTATTACAAATACTCCAAAGAAAATTTTTTTTTTGCTGAGTCAGCCTTTGTGAAGCCTGTAAGAATACGATGCAGGGATTATGGTGTGATTTGATGAGCAATGAACATCCTCCTTGCTGGGACAATACCTAAATCTGACTCAATTCTTTGACTTTCCTATTTGCAAAGTTCTCTAACTTAAATTAGGGTTAGATAAAAATGAAAAAAAGAAGTCTACAATGAGTCATTAGTATTGTTTTCTAGGAATGGTTATATTTGTGCAAAATAGTTAGAACTGGGCAATAAAATATCCTGCCTTGGGACAAATGACAAACCATGATGGAATAATGATAGACTTTCTATTAAATACTGATTATTCATTTAAAAATATTATTCTGAGTAGAGGCTCTTAGACTTCATCAAGCTACCTAAGGAATCCCTGGTATACATAAAAGATCAAGAACTCTGTATATAGAAGCTGTTGGTCAAGAATGCTGATGAAGAGCAAGTTCTTTGCAGTCATTTTGAACTTATCTGTGCAATGCTGAAAGGGGTTCAGGAGAAATAACATATATTGTAATCAAAGTGTATTTACACATCAATTGTTCTTCCTCTATTAATTTCTTTCACAAAGCCATCACTCCCTTTTCTAACTTTGATTCATGCTAATCCCCATCTTTTTCCTAACTCTTACTTTAGCTGCCACAGATGATCAAAAATGTCAGTTTTTGCTTGCTAATTCAGTACATGCAAACAAAAATGCAGCAAGTATTTTTTGGTAACATATTTCCAAGCCTAAAATATATGATTTCTAAGGTTTTTGCAGTAGAATGAAAGGATTCACTTAAAATTGATTTCTGTAAGCCCTAATTATACAGTACATTTCATAATAAGCATTACAAAATCTCAGCTTAGGAACAAAAAACTCTTAGTAATAAATTGTCACTACAATGATCAGTGTGCCAAATTTAATTCACAGATAAATAAAAGGAAACCTTGAAAGCTGAGCAGAAGTCTAGTATAAGTGTAGGCTTTGTTATAACTCTGTGATAGTTAAGAAACGAACCCTTACAATATAATTCAGGGGTTCTTTTTGACTTTATATTCAAGATGATCTTCTAGTTGTCTCCTCTGGTAAGTGGGCAGCTAGTGCCTACTCATTCTGGAAACAGAGATACTAGCTGCTGATATTAGCAGATCAAAATGCCCCCCAGCACAATTTCTTTTTCAGAAAAGTTAGCCTTACTTAGAAGCTGCCACAGTGACTTGAATTATCCGATCCCTATCATTAAAGGTGGCAGCCATGCACTTGAGAATGATGTGGGAAAACTCCAGTGAGAGTGATAATTAAACTTGGAAAATGAAGGGTCACCTTCTTTCATTCAGCTCATTGGGTTTGGCATCAGAGTAATTCCAAAACAGTGGGGGATATTCTACTCTCAGCATGGCAATATCTAGGTGCACTCATGATTTCTATGGGTTCAAATGGGAATGTCATTTTAATTGTATTTAAAATGCTATCTTTGATATAAGGAGTAAAAATGTTAAAAATTAGTTCTAAGAATTCAGAAAAAGAATAATGAGTATAATCTAAATGGAAGAACTGGAAACAAGAAAAGCATCCATTGTTTTCTCAGAAGAGAAAGCATGATAGGAAAAGAAAATTGTTTCTAGGGAAATTGAAAAAAACATTTAAAAATGTCTCTTCTTTCTGCTTGACTGTGGAATCACAAAGCAAGAGTTTTATCTTAGCTTTCTTGTCTACTGCTATCATTTCTTGGAGGGCATTATTATAACATCTTACTACTGCCCAAGAAAGGAGAGAAATTACCACATGAACTTTTTTCCAGAAAGGGTATATTTTTAAGATGTATTGGATTATCTAATACTATTCAAGTAATATGTGGGAAATTATATTTCATACTGTTCCTATATTGCATTAAAAAGTAATAGTGAGGACCTCCCTGGTGGCGCAGTGGTTGAGTGCTGGGTTGCAAAGCTGCCCGCAGCCTCTGCAGCACCGGTTCGATCCCTGGCCACTGGGCAAGGGTCCTACATGGCGTGCAGAACTCTCCTGCCACCCGCTGCTCCCCTCAGCAGTGTACTTCGGTCCTTCTGCCTGCTCTGCTCCCCGCTCTGGCTCTGGTGAATTCTCTCACCCTCCCGTGCTTCTGGCTGTACCCAGTACTTATATAAATAAATAAATAAATAAATCTTTTAAAAAAAAAGTAATAGTGAACATTTAATGGCCTGAAATGATATTGTAATATAGACAGATTGCTAGAGAATGCTATTATTACACAGGAGCATTGACACTAAAAGTTAAATTCAAGTTCAAAATCTGGCTTCACCATATATTAGCTGTGTAAACTCTGACAAGGTCTTACCCTCTCTGTGCCTCAATTTCCCCGGCTATGAAATGGAGGAAATAATAACACCTATCTTATAAAGTTGTTGAAAGAGTGAATGAATGTTAAAATGCATAATATATAACTATGCTTAGCACAGAGTGAATATTATGTGAATGCTCATACTTATTACTGTTGTTTTCATTATGATTATTATTAGTGTTGTATTTCATTATTGATAACTAGCACAGTACCTTAAGCATATAAACCAAGATTAAAGTTACATTAAAGACTCTTTTTGTGGTTGACCACATTGTTTTTGACATTCAAAGAAAAGTTTCCCAAGAGAGATAGGTCCTTTAAAAAATAAAATTCAATGTAATTGTTATTAAAGTTGATTATATAATGTGAAAATAAAGATAACTGGAACATCAGATTTCTAGATGGGTCTTGATGGCTTCCTTCACATTGTAAGGGGTCAACTTAAGGAAGGTATATTCTATGTGACTATATTTTGTTTCAAGATATAAGGGAATTTTGAAATATTTTTTGATTTCTAAAACAAACAAAAAACTTGATGGGTTTGGCAATAGCATGATATTTAAATTTCTTTTGTATAATATTATTTTTTCAGCTTGTGGGCTATTATTCACAAGTTATATTAGATTTTAATATGTCAATAAACTGCTTTGTGTTCTCTCATTTTGAAAGAACAATGAAGAATAAATATTTTCTACAATATAAACACACACATTGCCCCATTCACCATCAACTCTTTGAGAGACAGAGAAGTGTGTTTGTGTGTGTGTGTGTGTGCATGCACATGCACAGCTGAAATGTGAGGAGCAGGAAGAAAGAGGGAAAGGCAGAAGAAAATTAGTGAATGACATTAAGGACAATGCTAATTGACTATTGAAGGGAAAATATGACCTATAGATTTAAAAACTATTGGCAACACATAAAGATCTAAATAGAAATGAAATATACATAAGCTTGAATTTACTGTAAGGTCTGTGCACATTAAAAGAAAAAAAGTTTTTTTTTTACATGATAGGTTTTATGAAAGAGAGTCTTCTTATTTAGTATAGGGGTGTTAAAATTATTTGGTAGATTATTTTCCATTGAAAAAATATAAATAAACGATATAAGAAGTTATGCTGCTTCTGCCTTAGGTTTATATTTAAAATTATTTATAGTCAGCAATATCTTCCGAAGGTCATCACCTTCATAAATACTAACCATATACAGTAAAAACCAACTCAATAAAATGAGTATTTCATTTCTCTTCCTCCTGCTTATGTAGATACTTCTTCCATCTACATGGTACCCATTTATAACAAAGCCTCACAGTGTGAAGATTTTTATGAGTTCTGGAGATTTTCTTTCTTTTTTATCTTTCTGTGCATCAGCAAAGCAACTGGCAGATTCTTTAATAAAATATATTATACACATTAATATTTATAAGCCTATGAATTGGATGTTTAAATAAACATTCACCAACTTATGCCAATTCTTTTTGTTTTAGACGTTAAATCACACTTACATTGTCTGGAAAGTCAGCCTTTAGTTCAGTGACACTCTGACACCAATATGCAGCCGTTTTTTCACTGATGAGCTCAATATTCAGGAAGGAGCTTTGTCCAGGGCCATAAACTGGGCCAGAGGTGGTCCCCCGGATGATTCTGGGTGAAACATTTGTCACAATGTCCTGATGAAAGAGTAAAGTTACTGGATCTCTTTTGACAAAGATAAAACATGATCTTTAGTTTCTACTCATTTCCATATGACAATATTTTACCAAGCCTCTTCTCCCATATTTGAATAATTATTAAAATATATCCTAAATTACAGTTGCACATAAACTGCTCATAAATGAACGTGTAAAAGAAAATATTTGTTAGCTTTATTTAAATGACTCTGATAACTCTAAGGTTAGTGTACTGAAAATATAAAATATGTTAATTAATTTACACTCGTTTGGGGCATACACATTTTAATCTATTTGCAGTTAAATAAATAAAAGCATAAGTAATGCATAAAAATATCATTTCAGTCTATTTAATCTAAGTGTCTCCAATCAGATTTCAATTCTAGTAGAGTTAATGTTTGTAAAGAAAAAAATACATTTTTCGTTAAAATGTAATTCCAAAGTAAATCAGCCAAGAAATACATATTAGAACTACTGGCTCATCAAACTTTAGCACATACTGAAACAAACTCACTGGGTCAACTTTCCTGTAAGATTCTAACAAAAATTCACATTTAAACAGAAATCACTTTTCCTAAGATTGAGATGGGGATATCAATAACTTCCAGATAAATATAAACAGTAAACAGTCAAATTAACTTGCTTGTTAAGTATAATTAACAATCTACACTGCTTCTAAAGCTGCATTAACAAAAAAGAGTAACATTTTTACATTACTAAAAACTAAAAAGAAAGAAGGAAAATGTTTCTTTAGCCAACTTCCAATTAAAATTAATTTTGAGTAAAGGTCATTTAGTTAAGGATTTATCAGAATTAGTCATTTAAGTACCCCTCCTCACCATCTTGTCACTTTTAGTGCGATAACATGAACCCCCATTAGTATATAGCAATTAAGGTCAATTTACATATTTTAATTAAGAACCACCCCATATAAAACAATTAGCGTAATAGGCATACTAACTGGATTTCATAACATTTGGACGTTTTTCCAACTAGATAGACAGGAAACCTTAATTAGCATTAATTAGTGCTGATCTGCATATGTTTGATAAGGCATACCCTTGCCACAAAAGATTATTTATTCCTGAATCTGCCAAATGCTACAGTTGCAGAGGATAAAAGGACTTTTCTTCACATTGCATGTTAATTTCTGGTAATTTACATTCACTTTTACATTTGAATTAGTATATTATAAAATAAATGGTATAAATGTTATAATAAGCCTCCTTAAATATGTACATTTTTACTTATAGGAATCCTGCCAGTTAATGTTTTACTAATTAAGCCATTCCACTTCTATTGTAACTGTGGGCAACATCACCAGCCTTTTTTTTGATTTGCTATTGTGAAACCATGTTACACTGTCTTAATGGGGAAAATGACAAGTAGTCACTCCAGGAAGTTCAAGCCTAGTGGGTCAAATTTCTCTCTTGGCAAATGCTTAAATGTATTCTCTCCACCCAAGCAGGTGGCTTCTGTGCAGCTCACGCTCCAGGAGGTTCTCTCATGGTTCAAGAGTCTGACAAGACAACTTTAGAAATGTTTTGCTTAAATGGGGCTGCTTTTCTTCTATGTTCCAATTTTCATGGCCATATTTTTAAGCTTTGAGATACCCATTTCCTCTACACTGACCCCTGCTCAAGATGCTCTTCACCTAGACTAGTCCATCTAGCCACTGGTGGTGAAAGAAAAAAATAACTAAGGAGGTCAATAGAGTGCTTACTCAGTTCACCAAGTCATGTACCCTCCCACTGAGTAGTTCCAAAATTAAGGGCACCTGTTTTAAATAACCATTTTGTAATTTATAGGCCTGGAGGCAACTCTTTCTGTTGATTCAACAAAACTGACTCACTCATTGGCAGAGTCCCCAGCTCCTGTCCATCCCTCAGTCCCTTTGAAAACCATTTCTGTTCTCTTCTGTGTCAACAGGTCTCAATAAGATGATCTGATTCACACCACCATAGCAATATATACCTTATCCAATTGACACTTTCACAAACTTGCACTGCAATTGTCTATATTCTTCTATTTTCCATTAACTCTAACTTTGGAAGGGAAGAAGCTATATATTGTTTGCTGCAACAAGCCAAGCTTCTAGCCTGATCTTTTGTAGGTAATCAAATAATGTTTCCTATGGGAGTCTAGACTAAAACCCTAAGCACTAGAACAGGCCGTTCCAGAGGCCTAATCTCATTCTGTTGTTGAGCAGACAAGTAGATTTGGGCTTATATTCAAATTTCAGGTACTGGATCTGTGATAAGATTCTTTCTTAGACAATGGGGTTCCTATTTGCTTCTCCTGATTCTGTAGGCATCCTCATCCTACCACCACCACCACTATGGCCTGTTCCTGGTATCAGCATGCTGTGACAGAGATTGCCCATATTTCCACATCTTCCCCTTCCAGCCTACTGCACAGCCTTGATGATAACAAGTAGACTTGATTTTCATCATGATTTATCTTCTAAGACCTTTCCCATTGCTGGTCTTAAATTGCTGCAGGGATCCAAATAAAATAGGCCTAATCCAATACAGTCCAAATCATGTTTTTCTGATTCAGGTGGATATGAATTCCTAACCTGTTCATAGTTACCTTGGACATGTCTTAGCTAATGAACCCTATCAGGGCATTGACCAATTACAGTTGCCTCATGTCTATGCCCCAGGTGGGCCTGTATTTTCATCATATGTGCAGGAAATGCTATAATAACAAATTAAAAAAAAAAAGACACAGAATGGAAGAACTGCACCTATTATAGTAAGAAAGGAAAATCTCAATGGCCAAGGAGGCCTTATCATATGCTGTTTTATAGAAATAATTCTAATAATAACTAGGGCAGTAACCCAAAACAACAGAAATGGTCAATAAGCAGATATTACTTAGTTGGAGTACACACAAGTAAATTCTTTTTTAAAATTCTTCCACTCCCATTGATAAACTTATACTTGAACTTTTACCATTAGAGATTTTCCCTATTGTACTATGAATTCAGTCGATTAATGTTGGAGGTTGGAGTTGTTTTACTTTTCTATAATACAGAGCTAAAATGTAGATATTTCATGGGAAGATTATCAATGATTATAACCAAGATTGAAGATATACTATAAGGCAAATCAAAGGGAAACTTTATCTACTTTATGATAGGGATTGTTTATTCCTTTTTGTTCTTTTATGATAGGATGCGTTTCTCTAAATAGGTAGTTATCTCTTCTTACTCAAGAAAAGAAAATATATCCTTCATAACTGCCCAAAGTAAATACACTTATCTTTAGGCCTTGTCACCTATCAGTGAGTCAATTATCAATGTCCTAGTAATTAAAAAAATCAGTATGTTCCAAATTCAACAAAAATACCAAAATTCCAATGTGGTTATCCAGTGGGGAAAAAAAATCAATAGAAATTTTGTTCTAGTTTTCTTTCTTATTCAGTGGTATTTACAACTGCTTTGTCAAAAGCCCTCTCCAATGACTTGAGACCCTTATAATTTTTTAATTAAATGAAAGAGGAACGAAAACTTGAATACAATCAGTTATCCTTGGTGACATGATTAGTGCTTCAATAATTAGACAATAACTTACTAAAGATTTTGAATTGGGAATAGTAGAATTTTAGTATGATTTTAACTTCATAAGGTAATATTTTGCTGTAATATTCACTAGTTAAATCATATTAGCATTGCTTAAGGGAGTTAGTATAAAAAAATTAACTATTCAATAAGAGAACAGATAAGATTTTATTCCTGATAACAAATAAGTGAATTAAAACAGTTTTAATCTTTAGTGCACTAATAATATTCAAATTCTAAACAATGGAACTTTATAGATAAAGAGATGTTAGGTGAGATAGCTCTGCATTAAATGATATTGTAACTTACATTATAAAATCCAGTGTTAGTGACCTCTTAACATTTGAAGTGATGATAGTGATTTTGCAGCATTAGTAAAGAGATTTAAATGGTAAACAGATTGATTATATGTGTTTGTTTAAGTTCATTTACTTGACCTTCTTTTAAAGAAGGTGTTTCCATGGTTACTACCAGTGGTCTCAATGAACAGAAAAAGGAAACTTTGCAGCGACGTCTTGCTAAGGGATTGGGAATGAATTGGAATAGTTGGAAGAAAATTAAAAAAATAGGGCCTCCCCAGTGGCGCAGCGGTTGAGTGCTGGGTTGAGAAGCTGCCCGTGGCCTCTGTGGCGCCGGTTCGATCCCCAGCTGCTCCCCGGCCACCGGAGGAGGGTCCCACATGGCGTGCAGACCTCTCCTGCCGCCCGCTGCTCCCCTCAGCAGTGTACTACGGTCCTTCTGCCTGCTCTGCCTCCCGCTCTGGCTCTGGTGAATTCTCTCACCCTCCTGCGCTTCTGACTGTACCCAGTGCATGTATAAACAAACAAAACAAACAAACAAATAAATAAATAAATAAAAACATGCCTCTATAAAAAAAAAATTAAAAGAAAAAAAAAGAAAAGAAAAAAAATAAAATCTGCAAATCAAATCATAGCTACTATATCACAACATATAGACTAAATGTGTCATTGAATGAAAAGAGCAAGCTGTGGAAAATGTATATAATATGTTTACTAAAGTAAGCAAAGAATGCAGCATATTGTCTAGTGAAACATACTTAGGTGATGAAATATAAGTAGTAAAAGTAAGAGAATGATTTAAAATTATTCAGGAAAGTGGTTACCTCTTGGAATATACATAGATGTTAAAGGAGAAGTTAGGGATAGTGGAACACGGATGACTTTCTGAAAGCATAAGTGATATATTATTTTATTTTTTAAAAAGATTTATTTTTATTTATTTATGCATACAAGAACTGAGGTGTAGGACGGAGGTGCAGGGGGGTGAGAGGATTCACCAGAGATAGAGTGGGAAGCAGAACAGGCAGATTTACTGAAATACACTGCTGAGGAGAACACTGGGTGTGACAGGCGAGGTCTGCTGCACTATGTGGGTAGCTCCCTGGCTAGGGATCAAACTCAGGCCATGGCTGGAG